CCCAGGTAAAAATTCCATAATAAGATAAAGATATGATGGATCTTGGAAGGAATAATATAATTGAACCACCCATGGAGAATCAGATTCAGCAAGGACATCGCGTTCGGCTTTGACATGGGCCAACTACATAATAATAAAAACTCAATAATTTTATTTTGTCAAAGAATCACTTATTTTTAGACAGTAATCGAATTTCAGATAAATCAGGGTAAATCACCTGATCTTTCTTAAACATATCTGCTTTTCTTAACGTCTTCATAGCATATATTTTACCAGTATCATGTTTTTGAACGAGTCTAACCTGAATTCGTTAATTTCCGCGAATGTAATGCATGTAGCAAGTTAATAGTATATAAATTCATCCATAGTTTAATTTAATAAATAGTGTTAAGAAATGCACACCTCACCAAACGCTCCTTTACCAATCACTTTAACAGTATCAAAATCTTCTAACCCTAGTCTTGTTCTTTTAAGTCTTAAAAAATTTGATTCTTTACGTCCAAGTGACTGAAGTTGCCTATTCTTTCTTTCTTCCGAACAGTCCTCTCTTTCAAGCTTTTTTTCAAGCTCATTACGTCTATAAAATAGTCAATTGTCACATCAAAGATCTATGTTGTAAAAGCTGGGATAGACGCTAAAAGGACAGAACACTTATACTATAATTTCGATGTATTTCGAATCCACAGGAACCGTTTTTAGCTGGCAGTGATTACATACCGGTCGTTTCGTTCTCTTGCCTGATCCAAAGTAACTTTATAAAAGTGTTCTAATTTCAATTTTGCTGCAGTAGATCTATCCAAAGTGCCTTTAGAAAACCCCTCAGTGGACCTATCGAAAACCACGTATTCTTGTCTACCATTGCCACTGCCATTGCCTCCAAATCCGGAGCCTTGTGGTCCTGGGCCATAGTTTTGAGTACCCTGAATATCATAATCTCCCATTTTTCTGATTCAGATGTGTATGCCAATTTGAGAAAGTGGTCCTATAATATAAACTTGTGTTCAGAATGTGATAGAGAGTTGACCAAGTTCTTTTGATAATCCAGTGACACCGTGTTACTCAACTAAATGAACTCGGTAATATGCAATTGATGATTTGTTTATGTTTCAAACTCTAATTAAAACAGATAATCATGTGGAAGAAAACGTGCTCAAATTTCATGCTTCTATCAAAACTGTTAATTTTAAAAAAATGGCTACCGAAGATCAAATCAAGAATTCTAATGAATCAACTGACTCTGACAATAATAGTGGACCTAATGTTACTAGAAATAAGTATGCACATAAGCATAACCTAAAACCAGTAGATGTTCAGAGGCAACAATTAGAAAAGTTATTACAAAGAGCTGACAAACCCGTAACTATACCGGAGATTGATAAACCAAGATTAAAAGCTCCAAAAGATATTGTTAGAAATGTTCAAGGTAAATTTAAAACATAGAAAATTATCGAAGAATTAAGAGAGATTAATGAATTATTTTAAATAATAGGTTCTAGTGCGGGAGCTGGAAGTGGTGAATTCCACGTTTACCGAGCTCATCGTCGAAGGGAATACACAAGATTAAAAAATCATGGAAGAAGAAGCTAAAAAGGTTTTATTTTATATAAACATATTATATGATTATCATTTATTGAAATAATTTTTAATTTTCATTAGGAAGAAGAGAAACGCGAATTCGAAGAAAAGATGAAAACAATTAAAGAAAAAGAATATGAAAAAACCGCAAAAAAGCGGGCAAAAAGGCAAAAGAAAAAACAAAAGAAAAAGCAATCC